GCCCTTGGCCCCGTAGGGGTTTTTCTCCCCCTCTAGGCGGGGCTTGTGGTTACGCGGAGTGGGGTCTTTCCTCCCCACTCGCCGTACGTGTTGAGGGTGTCGGCCCCTCCTTGGGCTCGGTTCCTTGGCCTTTGAGTTGGTTGGTTCCGTCCTGTGGGTGGATGCTTTCCCCCCCCCCTTTTTTGGGGACGGTGTCTTCGTCATGTTTCCCCGTTCTTGGGGTTCTACGTGACTTTTGGTCTTGGGTGCGCCTGCGCCTTTGTGTGCCTTCGGGACTAGTGTTGGCTTCTATGTTCTCGAGGGTTCGGGAAGGTTTTCGCTACTTCCCGCATTATTGGAACGTCTGTAGGCTCCTCGTCCGGATCGCCATTCAAGTAGCCCGGTTGGGCTGCTTGTGGCCAGTAGCCCGGTTGGGCTACTTGTGGCCCTGTTGGGCTACTTGTGGCCCTGTTGGGCTACTTGTGGCCCTGTTGGGCTACTTGTGGCCCTGTTGGGCTACTTGTGGCCCGGTTGAGCTATTTGAAGCCCTGTTGGGCTATTTGTGGCCCGATTGGGTACCCTTTTGGGCTCTGTCTTCGCTTCGTTGGCCAGTTTTGTTGTTCCTGCTTCCTGTTTTGGCTACTTTTCTAGTGCAGTAGTCCTGGTTGGCGCCTTCCCGCAGAGCGGGTTGTGCGGTTCGGCCAGCGTGTCATGCGCATGTGCCGTGGAGTTTGTTTTGGTCTGGGCGGTGTGTTTCAGTGCTGGTGTTTTGCGCCCTTTTTTCTCAGGTGCTTCACCTCTTGCTCTTCTCCCTTGCTGCGGTATGTGTTAAACCTGTCTTCATTTAGGTATATTTTTGTACGACCATTCCAGTCCACTCATGTGCATGTCTAACCCATGCTAGAGTCATTCAGGGGACCCACCTTTTTTTGTGTTATGAGGTAATTACCTAAGTAATTACCTAAGTGTAGTTACAGGATGAGAGCTACGCTCGTGGTGTCCCGTCTTCCCAGCACTCTTTGTCATATAACGCTTTGAAACTACTGACGGTCTTGGCCTCCACCACCTTCTCACTTAACTTGTTCCAACCGTCTACCACTCTATTTGCGAAGGTGAATTTTCTTATATTTCTTCGGCATCTGTGTTTAGCTAGTTTAAATCTATGACCTCTTGTTCTTGAAGTTCCAGGTCTCAGGAAGTCTTCCCTGTCGATTTTATCAATTCCTGTTACTATTTTGTATGTAGTGATCATATCACCTCTTTTTCTTCTGTCTTCTAGTTTTGGCATATTTAATGCTTCTAACCTCTCCTCGTAGCTCTTGCCCTTCAGTTCTGGGAGCCACTTAGTAGCATGTCTTTGCACCTTTTCCAGTTTGTTGATGTGCTTCTTAAGATATGGGCACCACACAACAGCTGCATATTCTAGCTTTGGCCTAACAAAAGTCATGAACAATTTCTTTAGTATCTCGCCATCCATGTATTTAAATGCAATTCTGAAGTTAGAAAGCATTGCATAGGCTCCTTGCACAATATTCTTTATGTGGTCCTCAGGTGATAGTTTTCTATCTAGAACCACTCCTAGATCTCTTTCTTTATCAGAATTCTTTAAAGATTTCTCACATAATATATAGGTTGTGTGGGGTCTATGTTCTCCTATTCCACATTCCATAACATGACATTTATTAACATTAAATTCCATTTGCCAAGTGGTGCTCCATATACATATATATATCCATATACTCCATATAGGTGTGTGGGTTGTGGTGATGGTTATGTACTCACCTGGTAGGGCTCTCCTGGTTGTGCTTGCAGGGTTTGAGTTCTGGCTCTTGGGTCCCGCCTATATGGAAGAACTTGCGGGATAGTACCAGTGGAGTGCAGTGGTGCTATAGGCACAATCGGGAAACACTGTATAACCATCTGCGATTGTTACACGACCTACTTGAGAGCATATGCCATATTGCCGGTACATCCGTGGACTTCCAGGGCACACTAGCCTGTTTTCGAATAGAAGTTCCGGCCGATCCTAGTTGTGGGGGGTATGTGGGCCTGTGGGCCGCTCCAAGCAGCTGCCTGGTGGGCCACCATCTGGCCGATCTAGCCTAGCATCGGGCCGGGCTTGGGGTGTAAATGAGCTCCCAGTAACTCATCCAGCAGGTATCGAGCGGGGTTCTCCGCCGTCGGTCGCCTGGTGTGCAGGTTCCTGAGCCTGCTGGGTTCTGTCGTGTCTCCGTTGGCCCTGTCTGGGGTCTGCCTGCTCCGTTCTCTGCCTTTGCAGAAGCGAGTTGCTATTTACATGTTGCATTTTGCGGTGGTGCCTGTTGCTGCTGCTGCTGCACGTGTGCATTGGTAACGTGTTTCGCGGTGGTGTGTCCTTGTTCCTGTGTCCAGTTGTAGTGTGGCATTTTGCTGCTGTTTTGTGCCTAGGGTTTGCGTATGGGGGTTTGCTTGTTGTTTATCGTGGTCTTTGGGTCCCTGGCTTAGCCCTGTCATGTGCGTGGGTTTTTTCTGTCCCTGCCTGATTGTCCACCCCTCGTTGTTTCCTGGGGTTTTGTGCTTCAGCTCTTTCGTCCTGCCTCTCCCCAGTCGTTTTCCTGGCATCTCCTTTGATCAGTATTGCCTGCACTTGCTGCTGTGTGTGTGTGGGGGGGGTATCAGTTTCCACCGCTTCCTTTCCCTTCTGTGTTCCCTTGTTTCCTCCTCTGCCGCAGGGGTGTTCTGCGTGCGTTCCTTGGCTTCTTGGGCGTTCTTTCAGCCTGTGTCCTGTGGTGTGCTTATTTGTCTCGGTCTATTGCCGTTGCTCGTACCCCTTGGTTCGGGTTCTGTTTCTGACGGCAACCCTTCCGCCTTCTTCGGGTTCCTAGCTTACCCTGCCGGTTGGCTTTTCGGGGTCTTGTGATGTCTTCGGGTTCTGTTTCTGACGGCAACCCTTCCGCCTTCTTCGGGTTCCTAGCTTACCCTGCCGGTTGGCTTTTCGGGGTCTTGTGATGCCTCGCGTCGGACCCATCGTTTCTGAACTCCTGGTGGGCTTGCTTGCTTTGGGGAGTTTTTCTGTTCGGCAGACATTCCATCTCCTTGTGCCGCCTGGGTTTCGGTGGTCGCGTCCGAGATCTTCCCGTGGCTCCGCCTTTTCCTGGGCTCGGAGGGGCCTTGTCGGGGCTGCTTACGTTCTGCCTCGCGATTTCGCCTCCGGTTGGTGGTCAGGTGGTTTCGTGGTAGGTGTCCCACCTACGTACTTCTTCTTGGTGGCAGTATGTAGTATTTTGACGGTCCTTCCTTTTCCTGTCCCTTCTTAGGTGGCTGCACTTGTTAGTGTTGGCTTGGTTTTCTGGTGGGGGTTGGGGGCCGTCGTCTTGCCCCATACTGTCGTCTCTTTTCATGCGGCGCTGGCGGAGCCGCTTCGGCTTGCTTTCGGTCTTGGTGTTGCTTCTGCACCGTTAGTAAGCTGTCTCGTGCGTTGTTTCACCTCCGGCCTGTTCGTGCACCTCTTGCACCATCCTGGTCTCTGGTCAGCGTGCTCTGTCTTCTAATCGGTTGGTAGTGCCCCTTTGGTTCCGGTTTGTTTTTTTCTGGGCTCTTTTTCCTTTTGGCATTTGCCTCTGGGGGTCGGGTCGCTGAGTTTTCTTGCTCCTTCAGTTTTAGCGTTTTGGTTGTTTGGTGGCAGCAGTATCCTTCTTTTCTGGCGCGGGGTGGGGCTGCTGCATTCTGGAGGGGTCCATGGTTTGTTGGTGCTTGGTTGGTCGGGCCGGCGGTGTGTCATGTTTTGTGTTCATTGACAGCCCTCCGCTGTTATTTGCGTGCCATGGCATCTGTGTCCGGGGCGCGTTTTGCGTTGATCCGGTTCTGTTCTTCCCAGTTCGCGGGTGACGGTGTCCCGAGTTGTCAGCCGTGATCTTGCGGCTAACCTGCCTGTGTTCTTCCCCCATGCCCATGGCGTTCGTGGTTTCGCTGCTCTCGCTGCCGTCTGAGTGTCCTTGCGGTCATTCGGGCATGGATCTTTGGTGTTCGTACGGGGGCCTTGATGCTCGTTGTTCTCGTGTTGTTCCCGGGCCTTTTCGGGGTTGTAGCGCCTTGGGTTGGCATTTGCTGCCGGTTGTCTCGCTTCCGTGGGGGGTGCGTGGTGTCCGCCTCCCAGTTCCGTCCCTTTGACCTTCATCTGTGGGTAGTTAGCTCTAGGGACCCGACGGGGCTCCCCCAGAAAACCAGCGTTGAATGTAATGAAACGCCATTTTCTGGGTGAGAATCGGAGGCTCCCCAGCAACCCTCCCTCCCTTCGGTCGGCGGTTTTTCACGTGTTTTGACATCCAGCCTCAGAACTGATGGGTGGATAGCCAGCGTGGGAGGTCTGGGTCTCCCCCTTCCCCCTCCCAGGGAGGGGGGAGCTGCGCAGATAGCGGCACGGTGACATGTGACGTCATACTAGTTTGCTTGTTTTCTGTTGGGGAGTTCTATCTACTAGTTTGGCTTTAGGTAGTAATTTTAACCAGAATAGGGGTTTGTTTTGGAATGCTTACCTTTCTGGATGCTTGACCCGGTCGATGGCAGACATAGAATGCTTCCAACCACACGGGGGTTTCTATAGACCATTGCTCCCCTTGCCTCTTTGAGGGGGCCAGGTTTTGGCCGTGGTCCCCAGTAGGCCCTAGAACTCTATACACATGACTGATGCCAAAGTCTGACATTAGCATATCAGCCTGGTAAAGCTCCGGGGAGCCTCCGAGTTTCACCCAGAAAATGGCGTTTCATTACATTCACCGCTGGTTTTTGGGAACACTTTATTTCATGCGCACAGGGGGAATTTCACAATAAACTCAGCGCCGCATGGTGGTTAAGGGTTAACAAAGCCCTCAGGAAAGTGTGAAAGACATTTTGTAAATTCTTTACATAAATTTCACAAATACACAAGTGTGGGTTTTTATCCAATATCTAAAATGTTATCAAATATTTTTTAGATATTAATGTGAACATTTTAGATACTGACTTCAACTTTCCATACACTCTACTATTTTACACTACATTACCTGGGTTGATGTCTTTATCAGCAATCAAATGTCGTCCCTGAAGATCAGTGTAGACCAGCTTGACAGCGCTGCTCAATGATGGCACTGTAGAGTTGCACTCTTTTAACTTTGGAGGATCAGGGTTTGTATATGCAAATGACAGTTCAGAAGACTTAAAATTACTCTCAGCTGTAATATCACGTTTCTTATCTTTATCCTTTAATATCATTTTCTGACATGTGACCTTCATTTCTCTAAATTTTTGAGTAGATACTTGTAAAGAGTCAAGTTGCAGGACACGCTCAATGTCATCCAAGCATTTTTCATACTGCTTCAGATTGAACAGTACAAGAGAACGAGATCCGTATGCATGGGCCAAAGCTTTATATACTTTTTTGTCATGGGTCTGGACATTACCTGCCACAATGTCTGGATGTGGTGCAGATAACACAGCTAAATTATAACATTTTAATGCTTCATCTAGATCATGAAATACATAAGCTTTGTCTCCCTTTCTGCTGTGCTGATAAGAAACTTCATTTGACTTGCTTGGTGGGAGCAAAACTGGTGACAGAGTGCTATGGGCTTCATCCAGGCTCCAAATAGAGGAAAACATTTCCTCTGTGGTGTGTTCAGGCCCAAATTCATCTATTATTTCCCTAATCTTGCTGCTTACCAACAATTTATGAATAAATTGTTTAGATAAACTTTCAAAACTATATGCATAAGCCATGATAATGTCTTGAACTTCCAGAAATGTTTCCCAGACCTGAAAATAAGTTATATTGTTAAATTTGGTAGAAATTACATGCAAAGTAAAGGCACTAAATTGTAGAGTAACCTTTCAAATTAAATTGAATGCTTTACTTCCTTCCCAATTAATAAAGCCAACAGTGAATGTAATGAAACTCCTCTTTCTCAAGACAACTTGGCCATGGAACAAGGAGCCAAAACCAGAGGTGACAGACAAAGTGACACCCAGGGAATGCAAAGAATGACAAACTACCATTCCTGGACAAAGAGGAACCTCTATCCAAAGAAACCAACACTCAAGTACCAAAGGAACCCCCTCCAAAACCCTGCCATCCCTCACCAGAAAGGAAGGAGATATCCACAAAGGAATTGTCCTTCAGGACCAAAATAAACTAAACCTCCACCATTGAAGGAGAGAAGGAAAACAAGAACCCGATCATTGGAGGCAAATGTAATGTTCATAGCAAACGGTGCCATACGTTTGTATGCGCTGCATTTCATATGCCAGTAGTATGTAAACAACAGAGAGCATGCTGGATGCCCGCCATGCTTGGACACTGCTGGTCATGTATCATTATAAGTAATAAAGTCAGTAATCAAGCAATGCCTTTATATCACCTTACAACCAAGGCCATCCACAGCAACACAGGACACCATAGCAGGAAAAAAAAAAGATAAGCATTCGAACCAGAAATCAAGAAGGCTCGGAAAAAGAAAAGCAGGCTGATGACAAGAGGAAGAACGTAAGAGAAGACAAAATAATAAATTAAAAGCTAACAAAAACCATAATTTTGTTTTATTTATTTATATATGCAAGAGTTCTTACATTCTTGTACAGCCACTAGTTCGCGTAGCATTTCGGGCAAGTCCTTAATCCTATGTTCCCTGGAATACAACCCCCACGAAGAATCGTTTTTGCAACAAAGTACTCATTTTGTTACTGTTGAGTTAAATGGAGGCTACAGTTAAAGATTTGCAGCCAGTAAATCCTCCCCGGGCCAGGATACGAACCTAGGCCAAAGCGCTCGCGGAACGCCAGGCGAGCGTCTTACCACTATGCCACGGAGACTGCCTATTAAAAAGCTACTGTAATGAAATGCCAATTTCTGGGTGAGCCCGGTGGTTCCCTGAAGCACTTCCCAAATGAACTGCCGAACCTCAATCTTTTGATTATTCTATTCTTTTATTTGTGAATCCGACCCCAGGCACCTCCACCCATGAGCTGCCTATGTCGTTTGGCAGCTGGCCACCGAGTTGCTGTGGCACAACCGGTGTTTTATTTTTGTGTTTACCCACGGCGAACAAAACCCTTCCCCCTTTCACTGCTTTATATCTGTGCATATATTTTTTTTCCTCCTGCTACTAGTGTCAGGAAATACAGGAAATATGTTACAGGAAATATATAGGAAATAGAAGAAGGAAATGCTATACTGTATGTTCAATAAGAGTCATCACCAGCAAGGACACAATTGCTGAGAGGTGCCAATACAGCTCAAGCCCTCATGGCCAAACACTCACCCAAGAGCTCCAGGTGAGGATAACTTTCCACCAGTTGGGGTTACTGGAACAGAACCTTTCTAGGTGGACGAATCTGTGGTTCATAAAGCAGCCTTGTCCTTCCCAACAGGATCAGCAGGTGGGTTCACAGGACTAAAACCCAACCACGTTCAGTGGGAGATACTCCCATGCAGTGGGAGAAACTGCATAGGGCCTCCGGTGGAACTAACCAGCTTCATTAAGATATGTCTAGCTGGCAATATACCAGAGGCCATAATGCCTTTCTTTTTTCTTGCATTTCTGTGCTCTAAGGAAAAAGGATGGAGGGATCAGACCAATAGCTGTGGGCAATTTCCTCCGGCGTCTCGTCACAAAGGCTGCTGCAAGAACAGTTAGCTAGGCAGCGGCCAACATGTTAAAACCAAAACATATATGTTTGATATATTTATATAATAAAATGAGTGAATCATCGCTGTACTCATAAATATGGTGTGCATATTGTTGATTCAATTATGTTCATCAATCAGTGAACAAATGCTTTGTCAGTTACTACACTATATACACAGGTTATATATAAGTATCTGCATGTTTTGTTCACCATAACGAACCACTAAGTTGCTATTATGAGTCAAAAAGTAACGAGGAGTGACTGCCGTGTACCAGCCAGCCACTCGCGCCCTCCCTCAAGTCACCTGACTCACCCACATTCTCCTCCCACAATACTGTTTTTGCTCTTATATACAGATGTTATATATAAGTATTTACATGTTTTGTTCACCATAACTGTACATCTAAGCTTGTATGGCGAGTAAAGGCACAAAGACGTAGGACCTCACACAGCTGACGACTGCCGCCCTCAAGGCCAGACGCACTAATATTTCTCCACCAACAATACTATGTGGTGTTATTATGCTATATACACACATTATATATAAATATCTACCTGTTTTATTCACCATACTTGTACAAGTAAACTGGTATGGTGCCCAAAGACCATCGTGGTAACCAGTAAACAACACCGTCGTCTGCACGGTGGCGTCGTGCAGACGACGCCACCTCCCTCACCAAAATAGCGGCTCCCAACCTACTCTTGCTGTTTATACCCTCTATACACACGTTATATATAAGTATCTACATTTGTGTTCACCATAGCGAACCACTAAGCTGGTATGCTGAGTGCAGTCAATAAAAGGTGGCCACACACAGTCAGAAGACATTGCCACTACCCTCCCTCCCACAGCATTACTCCTCCCTCCATGGCGCACAGCGCTAAATATCACCACAATCCTGCTATTATCAGAACCTTGGTCAGTTTTATCACAGTCAGGGGTCTTCTGTAATAATATCATCGCTACATAATAGCATAAACAAGTATATTATGGCATTTTTAGGCGATGCTGTGGTCACAAGCTGAACAGCAGTGCTGTGAGCTCATGCTGCGTGCGTCAGGCTCGGTTGCTCACTCAATACTGAGGCCCCTCACACCTGGGAATTTGGCCCACGATTTCTTTAAAAAATGGCGTCTGTTTACAAGAGCCCTGATGAAGGTGTGGTGAACCCCGTGTATCCACGGGCCGTTTAAATCTTGCGTAGTACTCCAAAGCATCACATGATACAATGGGCAATTTACTGCAAGTCGGTCAAAATTCATATGATGCGATGCGCAATTGAAAGGTTAAGGAATTTATATCCTGTGTATTATTAAATTCAGATTCCCAGTTTATATTGAGGAGGGCATTTGTGAGATATCCTATTGCTGCTTCACTGTGTAACCTAAAGATAATTTTCGTATTAGCTGGTGGTGTTATGGCCATGTTCGCTACAAGGAAGGTAGGATAGTAGTCAGTTGTTCTGTCAGTGATTATACCAGATGTGAGCTGTTATGTTGGTCCATCCCAGGGAAGTAGCGGATGTTTGAGTGAATCGGGTGGACCTAGTGATTGCGAGGATGAGCATACAGGAATTTATGCTATTAAGGAAATAGTCGAATTGAGGGCTATTTTGTTGCCCTAGGTCAATATTGAAGTCACCCCCCAGAACTTTGTGATTTTTGTTGAGGTTGTTGTTTATGATAAGATTCCTCAAGTTATCTGTGAATGCAGCTATGTTAATATTGGGAAATCTATAGATTGCACCAATAGTCAAGGAGGATTTAAGGGATTTAATTGAAAATTGAGCAAAAGTATATTCACAGCAGTCGTCTCTATCACTAATGACACTATTGCAGATGAAGGTATCTTGGTAGTATATAGCTGTGCCACCTCCTTTTTTGCTAGCCCTACAGTTGTGAATGGCTCTATAATCAGCTAAGTTGAAATGTTGGGTATGGTCTTTACTTAGCCAGGTTTCTGTTAAAATAATGAACGATAGTTCAGTACCTAGCGCTGAGAGTAGTACTGTACATTTATATCATCAAAATGTTTACTAAGTGATCTGACATTTTGGTTGAAATAAGTAAGTGTTATTTCAGAGTTTGTTTTTTGCCTGGTGTGCTGTGTAATACCTGCAGTGGTGATGATCAGTGTGTTGGTTATTAAAAATTTTAGATAGTAGATTTTGTTCAGGTTCAAAATCAGCTTGCATGTGGATGCAATGGAGTCAAGGTACAATAAGGAAAGCAAGTACAGACCAGTAAAATACTAAATCTGCTAAAAATATAAAATAATTATGGTAAACAGATAAAAAGAGAAAATATGCAAATATAAATATATAATAGAAACAAAATAATATAAAATGATAATCACTGAAATGAGACAGTAATAGCAAAAACAAATGATAATTCTATAAAATAATGGTTTACTTTAATAATATAATTACACTATATTTAATTACTAAAGTTACACTAAGATAAAAATGAGGTAGATTAATTAATTAAGAGATACTGTACACTCAGGTACACTGAATGATAAGAGTTTATGCTAGAGGACACTAGCAAAGCCAGTGAACAATGGAACAGGGGTGTATGGAGTATATATAAAATAGAGTAAAAAAACAAGAAAAAACGACAATAAGAGATGACAATTAAAAAAAGAAAGAAAAAAGAACCTTTGGAAAGGAAAGGCAGAGCTAAAGTACACTTTGGTAGTTAGATAAGACTATAATTTACCCTCTGGTTATTTAGTGCATATAAATGCACTACTCACAGCACTAGGTACTAAACTATCGGTCATTATTTTAACAGAAACCTGGCTAAGTAAAGACTATACCTAATTCTATAACTTAGCAGGTTATAAAGCCATTCACAACTGTAGGCCTAATAAAAAAGGAGGTAGCACAGCTACCACAGCAAAAAAAAAAGAAAAAAGAACCTTTGGAAAGGAAAGGCAGAGCTGAAGTACACTTTGGTAGTTAGATAAGACTATAATTTACACTCTGGTTATTTAGTGCATATAAATGCACTACTCACAGCACTAGGTACTAAACTATCGGTCATTATTTTAACAGAAACCTGGCTAAGTAAAGACTATACCTAATTCTATAACTTAGCAGGTTATAAAGCCATTCACAACTGTAGACCTA